TGAATATTTACTACAAAAACAAAAATATGAAAGAACAGTCACGACCAATAGTAAATACAGTAAATCATATTATATTTATTTTTTTCAAATTGCATTTTCGATCAATTTATTTTAAAATGCTAATATAAATTCAATTCAAATTTCAAAGTGAAGTTAGCAAGATAGTCTTATTGCTAGAAAGATGTTGACGAACGAGTGTGAAAACAAGAGTACTGTTCGATTCACGTACCATTCACGTACCATTCACGTACAATTGACGTACCATTCACGTACCATTCACGTACAATTGACGTAAGATTCACACTCCCATTGGAATACCTAACATTCGTACAAATGTCAGTAAATGCACCTTCTCTCGTGCGAGCAAACTGCAACAATAAACGTACTGTAAACATTGTAATATTATTTTACGCTGGGTTGATGGCGTTTATACGCGAATACTGGACAAAACGATTTTCAAAAATTTCATTTTTTTTAAGTTTTTATCAAAATTCACATCAATCGCGAAAAAAATCGAATGACTGAGCGAAGTTCATCGACACTTGAATTTACACAGAATCAAGTCACGGTGGTATTACCGAGTCAACGAAAAACATGGTCATTGCCCTAGGCATCATTAACAATTTGTTTCCCATGATGCACCAGTTTTTCATCTCATCTCAACAAAGTACATCAAATGTTCATGAACATAGTGCGCAGTTTTCCCGCGGTATCGATATCGGTTGGTGCTTTGAGTTTAGCTAACGGGTCGCTGACCCCGATATGAATGGACTGTTCTTTCAATATACACGCTATCAGAACCGTATAAAAACTTATTACATTTTGGGACTAGTAACGTTTCTTCGTATAGTCGCTGACAGCTTTCGACGTCGGTGATTTCATTCATACTACAATAGTCGTCTGCTGTGAGAACGATATTTACCTAGCCTGACCTATTGCGAGCTGTTATGTGCCGTGAATAGTAAACTGAAGTCTATTCGTCGACAGGCAGGCAGTCAGCTAGCGGTGTAGAACAGCCACAGAATATGGATTATGGGGACGCCCAGGCAAGCCACGACGGTCAGGTGCACGACATGATGATGGAAGACGGAGACAGCGTTCCTGCCAACGCTATTTCTGAGCTGTATATAGAAAGCGATAGACACGCTCCATCTCCTATTGATATCAGATACAAGCAACGAAAGGGAGTATTCGTTTCGTACAAAGTGGCAGCTGGAATACTTGTGTGTTTTTTAGTGATATTAATTGTGGTCGGTTTGGTGGTGGGTTTAGCGGGAAGAGGCCGACCACAAGGAGACGGACGCAGCAGTGCTGTTGTCGATAACACGACGTTCGCAACAAGCACCCTCGATCCGAGCATTCCCTGGAACAATATCCGTCTGCCGCCACACATCAAACCGTCGCACTACGAGTTGAGATTGACCCCCGATGTAGACGTTACCGGGGTTTTCTCCGGCACCGTGTCCATTGTCGTCAGATGCCAAAAAACAACCGACGTCGTCATCCTGCACGCACTCGCGCTGAACATCACCGGGCAGATAACGGTGAGAGACGGTGCGACGAACAGACATATTGACGTAGTCGAGGACTTCCCTTTCCCGCTCAACGAGTTTTATGTTTTACGTCTCAGTGAGAGTTTAAAAGTAAACAATAATTACGTCATCACATTTGAGGAATTCCAAGGTGGGTTGTCACAGGATTTGTTCGGGTTGTACATCAGTTCTTACGAGACAGCCACAGATGATGGAGGAACGACAAAAAGGTACGTTATGTTTAATGTGAGCTATAATGATGTAATTTACGTCGTAAATAACGAGTCACGAACACCTCGTTAGGGGTTGACCATTATACATCGCGAGGGAGCGCACACAGAACATAGGAGATGGCTATAAGAAAAATGGCAAAATATATTTATGATTAAAAAACAAATTATTTTTGCTAGAGAAGATACGGCAACGTCGTCCTGTAAAAGGATCAATCAAAACACACACACACAATTCAAGAACACCTAGTTAGGGGTTGACCAGTATAGACGCCAGGGGAGCGCACACAGAAAATAGGAGAGGGCTATAAGAAAAATGGCAAAATATATTTATGATTAAAAAAAGAATTATATTTACTAGAGAAGATATGGCAACGTCGTCCTGTAAAAGAATCAATCAAAACACACACAAAAATGAAAACAAATGTGTTAGGCCATTAAATCAATTTGGCAGCGTTCGCGCATTAGTTCAGAACGTGACGGGTCATGACTAGTGATTTACTTTCCACATTGCACTGAGCTGATTTGCGGAAAAGGCGAAAAGACGGAGGAATATTTCAGACCATGCGGTCTAGTTTCATGATAACGATCCTCGGAGAACTGCGTTAATGGTATTTGTCATATTTATAGGCACGTAACCGTTACATCATAATATCCAAATTCTAAAATTTGATGCTATGGTCAAATATTGGTGCGTCGCGGCATCATTTCGGTGTGAGCATTAACGAGCCCAGAAACATGCGTTTTATCATTCGCGTGCGCCCACGGCGTTCTGGTGGTTGACCCCTTGTGATTTGTATGACCAATTAAAGGCTTACAATGGTCTACGTGAATCTAACACTACTGTCCGTTCATTCCCTTACGGGCATTTAGCGTGTAATACCTCAACTAGTCTCGAGTCAGTGTTTAACGGATTAGGAGATGGGGTAACCACCGTTTCGCAATTATCGTGATGTTAAAAGGCGCTGGTCGTCGTGTCGCGTCCTGTTCGATATGACACTCATAGCGACGTACACAACGCGTGTAAAATACATTGTTTAAATGAAATTCGAACTCGAACTGCCTGAGTACTTTGTGTGACGCGAGTTACTGTAGTTTCACGAGTAATTTATAACATAGATTCACAGGGATTATGGGTGTTATGAAGGTAGCTACGAAGGGAACTGTGGAATAGAGGATGGCCCAATAAACCTTAATGCAAATTTCCCTCCGAGATCTCAGTTGTGATTGAGGCCTTTGTCCCCTTAGTGATTCATCTCCCCCATCAACGTACTCAGTGTTCAATACTATGCTTATATAGGTCGGAACAACAATGGCGTAGACCCGACGTTAAAGCTGGAGGGTCGTCACCTGCGCACGCGCGGGAATTGAGTCCCAAGCGAGGATAACAACACACGCTAAGAACGCAAAGGCTCATGGGTAGACGTTTGTTTGTAAACAATGACACGCTATGGTCACCTGACGCTTGTCTAGGTGACGACACCCCGCTTTAAACTCTGTGGTCATTTGCGCCTGACGAAAAGTTGAGCCGGACTGGAGTAAATACGAAGTCACATACAAGAATGTTACTGATTGGCTGCCTAACCCTAATAGTCTGACCAATCAGAGAGCAGCTTGTATGTTGACAGTTTTTTTTTGTTTTTTTTTCGACGATTTAAATTCTGACTCGAAAATATGCTTCGACTCAACTGCCAGATGATGGAACTTACAAGGCGATATGGTATAACCTTTTCATCATCACCAGACTTTCTCGCCCAAATTGTTCTGCACATTTTTTTATATTCTTCAATATTTCTAAAAATGAACCCTAATTTTGGAGCCAACATACAAAATTTGCAACAATTTTTAGTTTTTGCTCAAAAAGTTTGGCTTTGTTTGTTCCAATCTTCTGACGGGAAAGTGCAGACTATAAACGGAACTATTTTGTGATTTTGTGATGAAAAGAGGGAACGGGGAGAGGTTTAGGGTAACAACGATTGTTATCATGCATGTGAAAATAGTTGCTATGCAGTACCGTAACGTCACATGATGCATTAAGTTCACCATGCTCATTTAAACTCTCGTAAGACATCGACCTCGTCAACCGACCCACTACTTGCCACAACTCATCTATGACCAAAACATACGTTCCAGATCCCACACAATTCGATAGTGACGTCACCTTCCCATTAAACGTTACTGAATTTTGCAGACTTCTTTGATTATTTGAGTTCGATGCAACACTTCCAGAAAAGCTTATCCGCAATGGGCCGCTGAGATCTCGTTCAGAGTGAAAGAGCCATGAGATTTTATTTTGCCCCTGGAATAGTGTTCGATTCCCTCCAATCATAGCGCAAACTGTTTCCCTGGCCAATGAAGCCATGAGGGTCGTCACCTGCGCGCGCGGGAACTAGTATTTGGAACAGGGAATACGATGATAGGAGAAAAGGATTACTATTTGAAGGGCAACAACGAATCTCATAGCTATCTCGCTCTGAACGAGATCTCGTCGGCCATAATGACAAATTCTGTGTTATCGCGGATATGCTTAAGGATATTCTGACATGATCTATGGCGATTGGACGACGACGATGAAACGAAGCAACCATGACTTAAAGCGGGGGAGTCGTCATCTACGCATGTGTTAGATGGTCATAGTCAACAAGCGTCTACCCATGAGCCTTTGCGTTTTAGCGTGGGTTGTTATCGTCGATCGTGTGGGACTCAATTCACGACCCTCCCGCTTTAAATCGTTTTTAAAAATCAGGGGTTGGTCACATGTCGCTGCGTTTATCTACAAATATTTACAACATGCATTTTTTATATAGACAATCTAATTTAAATATAAACGAAATCGAAGCTGTGGCTGACGTCTAAAAGCGCACTGTTGCTAGAGGGCGCGGATATCACAAACAGTGTAGCGATAATTTCAGTAACGCGCGACATTTTAACTTTTAACATTATCGGATATTATTATCGTCTATTATATAGATAATGAAGTTGAATATATCTAAAAAAAATTACATCATTTGATCAATCTAATGCCTTCCCATAGATCGTGCATTTAATTAAATATACATTGGTGTTAGATGGAACGACATAGTCGCCGATAATAAAGCTAATGCTTTATATTAGGTGCAGATAATTATCCGATAATCTATATTCGATAATGAGTATAAAGTATTCGTAAATATTCAGTCATTATTCGCTTAGTTATTGCCTAACACAGAATTGATCATCATGACATACAGGATACTGTCTTGAACAGCCATATGTATATGCTGTCGGCGAACCGTAGCCATGGTAACTGCAATTGTAGCCTTTGGCATCACACATGTGTTTTTCTCGTGGTAAATTTTTCAAATGCCGTGTAATTAGCGTGAATTCAACGTGAGAAGTCACAGAGTGATTCCAATAACCTCATTTGCGGTACGTCTCGAGGAATTTCTAGCCAGATCGAATACTGAAAATAGTGCCAGTGTTAGTAGGTTTGGTCAATCTGCGCATGCGGGTTTCCATGGCAATGTATTGATGGACATGGAGACAGCCAATCAGTGTTGGCATAGGATTCTGTGCCGACTGCATAGTTAAATAACGATTCAGATTACATAGTGATTTCTACTGGGAATGGTTGGATTCCAGGATAACTCAGTGCAGCTTGAATATTGATTATTTTTGGTATGCCTGCTGCGATGTTACAATAAAAACGATTCGCATATATTGGCGGCCATCTTGGCTGACAAAACAACTCACTTGCGTGCGTTTCGTAGAAAACACAGGGCCGGCACATGCATAAATGCAATACTGGTATGATTTATTTGTTTAAAATACTTCCAATTTTTAAAGCGCGCGCAGTTGTTCGACTAAACAAAAGTATAATGCACATGCGCATTTAATTAATCGCACGTACCAGCAATTCAACTGGCTCGCGCATTTGCTTATTTTATTATAACTTATCAAATGGATGTTCTTGTTAACGGAGAAAATTGTGATTTATTAGATTAATGTATTGGGGTGACTGACGACTATGTTTGTTTATCTTTCCCCCAAACACGCAGATAGCTGATTGAAATGTAACTTAATATGGGTAACTTAGGCACGCAATTCTGTATCGAATTAATATAAAATGTCAATTTAAAGTTGCACGAGGAGAGCATTCTAGAGCTTTATTGAGACATTGATGAAATATTTGCGAGTCTGTACTTGCGCAAATTGTGGGAAAATGTTCAAACTTGAATGTTTTTAAACGTGTGTTCCTACGCACGCAAATTCACAAAGATTTGTTTGATTTGTCTCGCGACCCGCAATAATTTGGAACAGAAACAATTCCCTGTTTCTGAAGCGCTGGTATAAAAGAGAAAAACTGTAACGTATATACACCACGCAGTACCTTGACAGATAAAAGAATAGCTCAAGATAAGATATACCTTAAACAAAATGGCGAAATCTCGTTGCGAGCGACATTATTGAATAATATTTTTTTTTTCTACTTTTTGGATTACGTTCTTTTTCATGTTGCGTTGATATTTTAGGTTATCATTCGAGAACGTGACAAAACATTCGTTATGTGTGAACATTTATTTCACTTATTGTTTTTTTCTTAAAATATCGAAGTGAAATATCAATCAGCTCAGCGCCGCAGCTGTGTGATGTTTTTAGTTCAAAGCGACTCCGAATCACGAATGACGTATAAAGCACGTATATGACACCAAGAACAATCCCCCTAGGAACTCTGAAATATTCAATAAGTCTGCCGCGTGAGCACAGAAATTACTTCCAGTCGAACTATGTGTACAAAATACCCATTAAGGCGGGAGAGTCGTCACCTGCGCATGCGGCAGACGGCCATAGCGTGTCGTTGTGTACAAATAAGCGTCTACCCAGAAGCCTTCGCGTTTTTAGTATGCTTGGGACTCATTTCCCGCGCGTGCTTTACGTCATTCTTGGTGCTTTAATGTATTTTATTTTTGCAACTTTGAATTATTTTTTCCCATTGACGAGCAATACCAAACCGCAGTCACATCATCGTGGACTCAGTATGGAGCACATCGTTCTTCGCTGAGTAGCTTATCACCTTCGGATCTTGTTGGCTGTTCGGAATTATCCTGACGCTCAGGTTCCTTGTAAAAAGCATGTAAACAACCACAGCCGACTTGTTAGTATTTTCTGCATCCTTGTTGTCGAGAATTTGATGTAAATTATTATCGTCAATATTACCGAATCGGCGGGCTCTTAAAATAGGGTATTTCAATACATGTATTAAAATTCAGCTTTGACAAGTTGTTTGCTTCGTTGTCAGTCGACAGAACGGCGTTTGTTTTGGTATGCAAAATTTTCCCGCTGTCATTTGCACAATCATATTAAACAAATAATTACTGAAGTGAAGATCAGAATTCAGTTTTCGCGTAGTTCATCAATTTGAAAAGCTGTGTGTGACCAAACGCAGCGTTATGTTTGTTAAAGGGCGGTGGTCGTCGCGCTGCGTCCTGTTCGATATGGAACTCATAGCGACGTACACAACGCGTGTAAAATACATTGTTTATTTACATGAAATTCAAACACGCGCTACGCAACGACCACCACCCTTTAACAACACTGAATATAGTCGTCGCGGCGCGTCCTGTTCGATGTGGGTCCCATGCAACATATACAACGTTTGTGTACAGGAAGCTCTAACGCTCGGTTTGGTGCATGGGAATTGTAGTACATTGTGTATGTATTTTCAGTGGTAGTGTCAACCCTGTAGACTTCCGGTATATGTACGTAATCGTCGCGGCAAACTTCGGAAATGTGAACCAGAACAGACGGGCAGTGCCCCGGGGCTGTCCTAATTTCCTTGCTAGTGACTTCGCTCTGAAAATGCCCACCAGGGTGTTTGACTAATTACCATTCATGTCAACGAACACGACCACGGTCACATACTTACACTAATCGTCACCTGTCTGCCCTAGAGGCTCACCCGTGCACGTTTCGTCAGTATCACCAACATAACAGTTTCGCGCCATAAAAAAAAAATTTTTTTTTTTTTAAAATAGATATTTTCAGAAGTTTTCAGTTCGGCGAATCCAAATTCCGGGCCACACAGGTAGAATATTTCGTAAGTTTGTATGACTCTATTTAATTTACGAGAAAGTAGTCTGATATGCCACGCTTTTCTTCGTTCGATGAAAGCTGACAATAGATGCTCTTACAAGTCCGGTCATGCGTGGACCATAATAATCACGGCCTTGTCGTTTGTTCACAAACAGTTCTTTCATTACTGCGGCCCACGTCCCCAAACGCTCGTCGCAGCTGATCAAATCACCGTACTATAATCTCTCAATGGGCCTCTCTATCCTTAAACACTGTCACGTTGAAAGACGTGTAATTTGCAGAAAATAAATACAGATTTTTACGCACCCTCAAATTAATTTGATGTTTGGTGGTACTGTTACCTCCTTGTCGCGGTAACCAAGGTTATAAATTATACTGCTGTAAAACCATTTATTTTCACTGGCATTTAATTTCACTATTTTGATGTTTTGAGCAATTTCTCTGTGTTTTAAATGGACGAACTTGGCATGGAAACAATGAGTTCCATTGTTATTCCACAAGTTCACGTGGATTCAATTTAGCGAATTTCACTTACCAGCGAAAATAGCGAACTTGAAAACCAGCGAATAATTAACGCATTTACAGTATCAGACTGGGTGCTGGCTCATCTGGGCTCTTCAAAATATATCATTGCCAAACAACTCATAAATAAGGGCGCACTACAGGAGGGTCGTCACCTGCGCACGCGGGAATTGAGTCCCAGGCGATGATAACAACACACGCTAAGAACGCAAAGGCTCATGGGTAGACGCTTGTTTGTAAACAATGACACGCTATGGCCTCTTGACGCATGCGTAGGTGACGACTCCCCCGCTTTAACTTTATTACTATGAAAAACAGTCATTAAATCACTCGTCTCTAACAATTTCGTTTCAATCCAGCGATGCTACAGAAAAATGGACTTGGGTAATCTATTTTGAAACATATTGAAAATACACACCTCGGTTTAGCTACTGGGTAATGCAAAATACATCGCAGTGGGGTGTTATATTTAGAGAAGAATACACTCTTATTTACAGGTGTAAAGTGTGGCCGTACATGACGTAATCCCCTTTCAATGTTCATAAATGATGATATGTACGTTATACACAAATGGCTTCCAAAATCTCGAGGACCATGAGACTTGTATTTGTCTCTCAAAAAGATTCAGTTTTCTTCCGTCATCGCGTCTACTGCTCCAAAGAAATCAGGGAAACAGTTGACGCGATAACTCGAGAATGAAACACTTATTGAGGAGCAAACACAAATCTCGGAATTCTTTCGCTTTCAACGAAACTTCGGCGCCATTTGCATTTAAAGTCATTACAAGAACACGAACGAACGATTAGAATAACCGAACAATTGCACAGCCAATAAAATAATTCAATAAATCCTCTGGGGGATCAATACAACTGAATATTGACCGACTCTTAGGTAGCTGACTCAAAGTCAATAATATGAAGTTATCACGACCGACAATATCGCAAAATATGCACGAAGGCAGTGCGACGGGTCGTTTCGACCGAGCGTAGTTGTACTGCCTGAGTGAATACTTTGCGGTATTCTCGTGATAACTTTGTTAATTTACATCTTTTTTCCTGCCTGTAGTAATAATTTAATGAAAGATTAGTACTAGTAGTCCGAAACGTCAACGGAAACTTCTTTCGCTGTGTCAACGTTTGCGTTCAGTGACGGTATTGTATTTCGTCGCCTAACATTTAACAGGACAGTCAGCATCATGATATAAACGCCTTAGTAACCGTTATTCCGCGATGAAATATAAACAGCTCGTCCCACTGCCACTGCGTTCGTTATATGGAAAATAAAAAATGAGCTTCTAACTTTGAAAACAACCAAAATGTAGCAACACTGTGACGCAAGATACTGAATTGTTCGAGTTACGAACATCGAGTTACGAACATCGAGTTACGAAAACATCGAGTTACGAAAACATCGAGTTACGAAAACATCGAGTTACTACAAAATGACTACGCCCACGCCCGTAACTCAATGTCCGTAACTCGAACAATTAAGCATCTCCTGTGACGCAATGTTTTCGGTGCAAGAAGTATAATAATGAGCTGTATTCGACTCCTCGTGATCACGTGAGCAATCAACGTGACCGTGTTGAACACGAGGCATAATAATTGACTGGCGATTAAGTAAAACACTCGCCATTAGAATGCTAGCTTGAAAGCGGGGAAGTCGTCACCTGCGCGTGCGACAAACGGCCATAGCGTGTCGTTGTTTACAAACAAGCGTCTACCCACGAGCCTTTGCGTTTTTAGCGTGCGTTTTTATCGTCGCTTGGGACTCAATTCCCGAGCATGTGCGGGTGACGACCCCTCCGCTTTAAATAAACACAATGTACAAATAAATAATTGCCAACAGCATATGGTGGTATAACTGAAAAACACATCTGATATACCAATAAGGCATATAATAAAGAACCGATGTCTTCCTCTACCCTTAATAAACCGCCAAACTGCTGTTAATGGAATTCCGCGTGCTCGTAACATATAGCAGACTGTGATGTCTGCTAGTAATTTAGTTGAAAATTAACGAGTTTTGTATAAAGAAATGCATATGATGACGCCGATGACTGGGAGCAAAATGTCACAAATAATAGTTAGTAGATGTGATTAATTTTCCCCCGCCCCAAACATTTCTTGTTATAATATGAGGTTATTACGAGGATACCTCAAAGTATGCACGAAGACAGTACAGCTGGAGTATCCTAATATGGTAGGATGAAAATACCCTGTAAAATGCCGCAAAATTACGGCACGCTATAACTTACGGCGTTACGGTGACAGATGTATAATAATTAGATTATATTTTATTTTGCCTCGACTTTTTCTTCTCTTTTTGTTCTTCTCTTTAATTTCGATAACTTGATATCGAATATACAGTAGCTGAATACTGCAGGTCGGTGCGCACATAGTAGATGACGTCACATGAAATCCATTTTCTTAGCCTTAACTTAAATTGAGTCTATCCGAATTTACTGAAAATAAAGGATGTAATCGCTGTTGTGCTCATGGAAATTGTATGCCCATGTTTATTACTCGGTATTCGATAAAAAAAGATTAGATCAGCGGTGAAGAAAATGAAAAAAACAAACGATTAACATTGCACCCCGCCTGCACGCAAAAGGTCATTTAAAAAACCCATTTATTTTCTGTCGATTTCAGTTATATCATGTCATCGCAGTTCGAACCAACCTTTGCCAGAAAAGCCTTTCCTTGCTTTGACGAGCCTGCAATGAAGGCCTCGTTCTCACTCACCGTCATCCGGGCACCTTGGTACAAGTCGTTGTCATGCACGAAGAAAAAATCCACCAATAGACTGCCAGAATCGTCGCTGTACGAGGATGTGTACGAAGTGACCCCTGTTATGTCGACGTATCACCTCGCCGTCACGCTTTCAAATTTCGATTATTTGGAGTTAGTCAGACCTAACGGACATGTCGTAAGTATGGTAAAAAAAAACACCACAGTCGTCGCTCGCGTCATGCTTGGTGTGGGTCCCATGCGCGTATACATTGTATATAAAATACTAGTACGTTTCTATGGAACCAATAACTTTTTTAAAATACGCATGTGCGCGTTTTTGTGATGATATAAAATATTATTTTTTTTCATTTTCCATCGAATAAATACTGCGCAGCGCATCAAAAACATTTTTATTTTACGATAACTTCTTTAATCCTTTAATCTCAACATATTATTAAAATTATTACATCTTTAAATACTAGAATATCGCACATTTTAACGGAATGTGCCACGCTACCCCAGTCTTATGAAGTGCGTCCTCTAGTGTCGAGGAGATTCTGTGACGTCAAAATGACGTATATGAGTGAAGGCAATTTCGTTCAAATCAATCTCTGTGTTTGATTTTCTAGTCGTTTGTCATCTAGAAGATAATCTCTCAAAAACATAACTTTAATAATGGAAGATTACGATATCGACGCTTTGAACGGCTATCGTGTCGCCCATTCACGTCATAGACCCCCCCCCCCCCCGTCACTAGAGGGCGCGATATTTGGAAAGGTGTATTATTCACCCAAGTTCGTAATCTTGTCATCTGGTCAGTCAGTCTATTTCTTCTTATCATCCGTTCTTCAACAGATACGAGCGTGGGCGCGCCCCCAAGTGCTGGAACACACTAGGTTCGCGTTGGAAGTTGCCAATTGGACGTACGGGTACTTTGAAGAGTATTTTAATAGGAATGATATCATAACCAAAACAGGTACGAGTATTGTCACGGTTGGTGAGTAATTATGTGACGTCACATGGTATATTCTCTCGTTCAATGATGATATCACCATTTCACAATCTATGATATTTTGCCGAGCGAAAGTTAATGAATCCCGCAGGATTATATACCACTTTAGCAGCCATTTTGAATTCTCAAATTAATCCATGCATCCATGCATTGTGGATCTTTGTGAATCTACTTGCTCAAATAATTACATTAGTCTGACAAACAAGGTGGCCATTGTTGATTTGCATAAATCCAAAATGGCCGACATAATGCCGCGGAAAGACGCCTGTACTGTATACTTTTATGTTTAAAGGGGCACCTTCCAGTTAAGATTAATTTTACAACAAATTTACTTTCTGGATTAAAATAACAATGGATAACAAAAGATAGATTAACATTGTAAACAACATAAACAATAGTGTCCCATGATTCTTTGGTGCAATCCATGGGATTGAGCGGTTCCCCTTTAACTATTTTGTGGTGAATCAGTGAAAATAAATCCAGTGAAAATATCTTTTATCCTATATTTTACATTCAACCAATCGAAAATTAACCCATCCAGTTAAAATAAAGATATTTTTATCTAAAGGTAATGGAATGTCGTTCGAAACAGTCATGTGATCATTAAACATTCCATATTTGCATAAACACCAATTGAATTTGAACACCTCTATACTATAACACGGAAAACCGAAACATTCAAAACATTAAAAAGCACTAGAACGGTTTGGTGACTCTGGAGAAGATGGCAGAATTGAAAAAAATGGCACAGTAAAAATCATGGGAAAAAATCCTGCAATAACAGAAAAACAATCTGCACGCCTATTTCAAAAATATACACACAGAGGAAAGTAAAAAAAAATACAGCGAATTCATTATTTAAAAATAGCACAAAACCAAGTGAAGGAAACAATATTTTGCATAGCTTTTCTGTCCTCCCCTTAATGCATACAAATCCTGCAATAATATTTAAAAAAATTGCGCGCCTGTTTCTCGTGAAAAATATTACACACAGAGAAAAATACAAAAAAAAATACAGCGAATTCATTATTAAAAAATAGCACAAAACCAAGTGCACATTTCCCCGCTATCTGAGGCAATTCAGATTGTTAAATACATATACGAACTAGCTCTTGTTCGTTCTGTGTTTTTTTTTTTATATAGATTTATTCGCTGTTCCCGACCATGCATCTCTTGGAATGGAAAACTGGGGGCTTATCACGTTTCGTGAGAGTATTATGATTGTAGACGTACAAACGTCTTCGGCGACAAGCATATTTGATATCGCTACTGTTGTCGCACATGAAGTCGCCCATATGGTAAGCCCGCCCTCTCTGGCATTTATCTTTTTCGATGACGCAGCAAGTTGGTAGACCACTTTCCCGGAAGTCGAACATATGGCGTTTCGCATGCGCGCGCATGTCGTTTTGGTGATTTTGTAGATGAACATTGTTTTTTCCCACAATCAGTGGCAGGCAAGAACGCGAGTTTTGATCTGGGCGCAATTTGCACCGAGAAGAACAATCTATGACGCCATCTTTGCTCGTATGGTACCAATGCCCCGCGCATGCGCGTGAAGTGACGTAAATGACGAGCACAATATTCCATGACAAGGGCTACTTGTTTACATGAAAATTCGAACACGTGCTGTGCGAACAAAATTCCAAAATTATGTATGCATGAAAAAATTTTGAATAATTACTACCTCTTAAAATGAATTCTGGGTAATTTGTTTGATAATACGTTTAAAGAGCGTGGGTCGTCACGCAGCCCATGTTCGAATTGCACGTGAATAAATATATTGTATTTTACGCGCGTCGTGTACGTCGCTGTAAGATGTGGCGCGACGACCACCACCATTTATAAGCGGAACACGTCTCGGCCGATAATGCGATAATTACATACAATTGTCGTGTAATAAATAAGGTTGTAGTCTTTAGGAAAATATTTTTGACCGTCTCGATCGTTTGTTATAAAAATATACGCTGGGCGTCGATTTATACATTTTACTTATGTTACGGCGGCCATGTTTGTTACTCTTGTGCGCATACTCCGTCATCGACTGTTATATTAATAGATCAACTTATATAAGTCCTACTCAGGTTATTTATCAAATATCACTGCAATGGTATTGTAGTTGCCCATGGTATTTCTTTAAATCGTGACTGTTTATTTTTTGTGCATTTCAGTGGTTTGGAAACCTCGTGACCCCACAATGGTGGGATGACCTCTGGTTGAAGGAAGGATTCGCAATGAAATTTGCATATCAATCACTTGATGTTATATTCCCGCAATGGAAAGTGGTGAGTCACGTGTCTGCCACGTGATGAACAAATCTCGTCACGTACATCTTGGACCTCAGTTGAAAGTCTTTACGAACATACGAGTATTTGTTACCGTATGATTAATTATATTCGCACATGCGCATGTTCTTTGAATTATTAGTACGTACAAGTAATTGATATATACAAGTATTTATCAGGTGTATCGTTTTTAACTGCTTTTATCTACACATTGATTTTTTCTTTCTGACCTGTTGACTGATTTACCTGCACAAAGTTAAATGTAAACACACGCTTCCCAAATTGGGCGTATATATCCTTATCAATGTGTTGGGTGCCCATTACCTGTACAATGTGTTGTGTGCATCACCTGTACAATGTGTTGGGTGCATCACCTGTACGATGTGTCGGGTGCATCACCTGTACAATGTGTTGGGGGCATCACGTGTACGATGTGTTGGGGCATCATGTGTACAATGTGTTGGGGGCATCACCTGTACAATGTTGTGGGTGCATCACCTGTACAATGCGTTGGGTGCATCACCTGCACAATGCGTTGGGTGCATCACCTGTACGATGTGTTGGGTGCATCACCTGTACGATGTGTTGGGTGCATCACCTGTACGATGTGTTGGGTGCATCACCTGTACGATGTGTTGGGTGCATCACCTGAACGATGTGTTGGGTGCATCACCTGAACGATGTGTTGGGTGCATCACCTGAACAATGAGTTGGGTGCATCACCTGAACGATGTGTTGGGTGCATCACCTGAACGATGTGTTGGGTGCATCACCTGTACGATGTGTTGGGGGCATCACCTGTACAATGGGTTGGGTGCATCACCTGTACAATGGGTTGAGTGCATCACCTGAACGATGTGTTGGGTGCATCACCTGAACGATGTGTTGGGTGCATCACCTGTACGATGTGTTGGGGCATCACCTGTACAATGGATTGGGTGCATCACCTGTACAATGGGTTGGGTGCATCACCTGATCGATGTGTTGGGTGCATCACCTGTACAATGGGTTGGGTGCATCACCTGTACAATGGGTTGGGTGCAACACCTGAACGATGTGTTGGGTGCATCACCTGAACGATGTGTTGGGTACATCACCTGTACAATGTGTTGGGTGCATCACCTGAACGATGTGTTGGGTGCATCACCTGAACGATGTGTTGGGTGCATCACCTGAACAATGGGTTGGGTGCATCACCTGTACAATGGGTTGGGTGCATCACCTGAACGATGTGTTGGGTGCATCACCTGAACGATGTGTTGGGTGCATCACCTGTACGATGTGTTGGGGGCATCACCTGTACAATGGGTTGGGTTCATCACCTGTACAATGGGTTGAGTGCATCACCTGAACGATGTGTTGGGTGCATCACCTGAACGATGTGTTGGGTGCATCACCTGTACGATGTGTTGGGGGCATCACCTGTACAATGGGTTGGGTGCATCACCTGTACAATGGGTTGAGTGCATCACCTGAACGATGTGTTGGGTGCATCACCTGAACGATGTGTTGGGTGCATCACCTGTAGGATGTGTTGGGGGCATCACCTGTACAATGTGTTGGGTGCATCACCTGAACGATGTGTTGGGTGCATCACCTGAACGATGTGTTGGGTGCATCACCTGTACGTACAATGCACCGGGTGTATCACCTGATCGATGCATTTTGCACATCAGCTGCATTATAAATGCTTGAATCTTTGGATGCATCACTGACATGGTGCGTTAGACGCATCATCTGTTCTTAGCATTGGTTGCATCACCTGCTTTCGCGTTCATATAATTAGAAACATATTCAGCTTATTGTGGAACATTTGTAATATTTAAAAAGTTTTTATTCTTTCACCTGTTTTTTAACAAATGTATTGCTGTCATTTTGTGATTGTCATTTGCACAGGCCGAATTGACCCTTGACCTCGCCGTCCAACCGGCATTAGAGTTAGACGCGTTTATGAATTCTCACGCGATGACGTCACCGATCGAGAACCCGAAGGACATTTCTTCGTACTATGACGCTGTGGCGTATTTGAAAGGTCAAAGTATCATTCACATGCTGCAGTATTTTGTTGGTGACACTGCTTTTCAAAACGCAATGAGGGTGAGTATAACGGATTCAACTTTATTTTACAAGGGATGATTT